CAGCAGGGCTGGGCTGCAGGCAGAAAGGGTCACCTCGGGGCATGGTCCCCAGCAGCCCTGTCTGTGTCAGCTGTGCCCCACTTGGGACATGGCTCTTGGCCCCACTGCTGGAAACGGGGCTGTCACAGTGGTTTGGCTCAACTCTGATTCCCCAGTACCCTCTAGATGGTCTCAAGGCACATCCCCAGACAGGGCTGGACCTGGGATCAGCCCAGTTCTGGGACAAGGATGGGCATGGGGACAGGCCAGGCACATTGGTGTCTACTCATGTCCACCCACTCCCTGCCTCAGTCCCTGGGCTGTCCCAGCCCATTTCAGCTCCATGCTGGGAGGGGAGGGGGGTCCCTACCAGCCCATCAACTTAAGTGTGATGTTTGTGACTAGTTCCCTCGACTGACCCTGCTGGTTACTTTTAACCCTCTCTTTGCTGCCAGCCGGAGCACGAAACAACCCCCAGGCACAAGCAGGAGGTATTCTCTCTCTGGAGTATCTTAGTCCTCATTGGTGCATCATATTGTCCATCCTTCCCAAAACAACTCTGTGTGTCACCCTATTTACTGGAATACAAGATGCACTGGGCAGGGGATTGGGTGCTAGAGGAGCCCGATGAGCAGACAGCTGGGAGTCAGCCCAGCGTGCACATGGCATCTTCTATCCCACTAAGTAAGGTGGTCCTGATTGTACCTGTGAGCAAGAGCCCTCCCAAGGGCAGGAGAGCCCTTGGCCCGTTGGGATGACCTGGCTTCTGCTCGTGTTACTGACCCTGCCTTGTCCTTGCCTCATGTCTCCTCTCCTGTGGAGCTGATCCCATCGCTCCTGCTGGCTCCCCAACCCATGCTCTGCTCTTGCCTGACCCAAACTGCCTCATCACCCCCTGCCCAGTGGCTCTGCTCTCCTGCAGCCCCCCCGAAGCTGGGCTGGGCCTCCCTGCAGCGCTGCGGCTGCCATCCCACCCCCATGGGGGCAAATGGGGCTCTGAGCTGCCGGGGCAGCTGTCACTGGCACCCACCCCTGTGCCTGCCTGCCCTGAGAGCGGGCTGAGCAGAGAAGAGGAAGGCTGAGCCCTCCCTGTACCAACTGCCGTGTCTGCGGTGGCCCAATCGGGAATGATTTATCCTGGCCTGAAATTCACAGCTGCTCCCTGGGGGTTTCCCCTCTGCTCACAGTGGGATGTAAATCCTTGCTGGAGCTGTCGGCAGAAGCAAGCATGGCCAGATGATGGGTTGGCCACGCTGGCACCACACAGCCTCACTGTCCTGCTTGGCACCGCAGGGCAGACCCCGCCGGGGCGGTGGGCATGGGTCCTGGCCCCCCCGCCCACCTCATCGCTTACCCACTGCATGTGCATGTGCCATGCCCTGGCCTGGTGCACCTGAGCCCAGAGGTGGGCACACCTGAGCTCTCCACAGCTCAGACACATGGGTCCAGGGGAAGTTTGCCCGAGTTGTGCTGAGCCTTCAGGATCTGGAAAATTTGGGGGATTTTCCTGGGACTCGCATGGGTCTCTGGGTGGTTGTTGAGGAGATACTGGGGAGATATTTAGGTGCCTCCTTTTGAGCCTCAGAAGAGGTTTGAGTTTGGGTTGGAAGGAGAAGCCAGGGCTCCTGCTCGGAGCCGGTTTGCCCACCTCTGTGGCGGGACGAGGGGAGCCACCGCGGTGCCTGTGCCCTCACTAAGCCATGCTCTAACACCTGAGCCCCACCTCACACTTGAGCGCTCTGAGCTGTCCCCTCTTCACACAAGAAGAGACCCACCCTTCCTTGGGCTGCTCCATGGGGATCCAGGCTCGTTTCCATGCCTGACATCCCTGCCCAGCCCTTGAACTCCAGCCCTTTGGCAGAGCCCACTTTGGAAATGCTGATCACCTGCCATGTTGGGGCAGAGCCTGGCACCAGAGAACGGCAGAGGAGGCTGCTGGTGTTTCCAACAGGGCTCTGTCCCTTGCTGATCCCAAGGGAGAGCCCACTCTCCCCTCCAGGTAGCTTAGCTTGTCCTCAGACAGGAGGACATGGAGTCCTGGAGATACTGCCAGGGCTTGCTGTGCCCTTCACCCACCATGTGTGTTTGGCCACATGCTGCCTGTGCTGCTTCCTGCAGTGAAAGAGCTGCTCCCTCCCTTAGTGAGACCTGCAGACCAGGGTGCTCCAATACACTCCTCATTCAGATCCTGACCCCCTAGATTCCAACCCGGTGTGAAGCAAACCCTCCCAGTGCTCATCCCCTTTGCCTTGGCTGCTGCTTTAATCATCTCTCTCTTCCTCTCTCCTTGCCAAGTTTTTAGACAAGCCAGAGGATGTTTTGCTGAAGCATCAGGCCAGCATCAATGAGCTGAAGCGGACTCTGAAGGAGCCCAACAGCAAGCTGGTTCACAGGGAGCGGGACAGGAGGCTGCCTTCCTCACCAGCTTCTTCCTCACCCAAGCACGAGGATGAAACACCAAAGGGAACACCTGAAAAGGCCACTGAGGTTTGTTCCACTGCTTCTCTTACAGAGGGGATCAGGCTGTGCTGGGGAGATGTGTTCCTCAGCTCTGAGGCTCTGCTCCTGTGCTGTCCTGAGGGAGCACAGTGGCAGTGATGTGCTGGGGACATGGGGTGCAGGGAGGGCTGTCTATAAGTTTTGTACTACACTAACCATTTTCAGTGATCCTGTCATGTGCTCAGGCACTGCAGGGAGCTGAAGAGCCCTTCTCAAGGTGTTTTGGGGATACCTGATAGTTGGGCTGGCTCTTTTGGCCCATGAGATAGGATTTTCCTCACCCCTCACCCCAGCAGCCTGCAGGGCAGTGCTGGCACAGCTCTTGCCCAAGGGATGTCCCTAGCAGAGCAGAACCAGGCACCTGCAGAGAGGTGCCCCGTGGTGCTCCCAGCAGCAGGATGCAGGTAGTGGGAGGAGGTGGAGTTGGAGGTGAGCAGTGCCCCACTGGCATCCCACATGCATGTCCTCTTCTCCAGGCGTTCTGCCTGCTGTGCCTGCGGGGGTGAACGGAAAGCGCTGGAATTGGGGTGCCAGAACAGAGCCCCCAGTGCTGCATGAGGGGTGTGGATGTGGCACAGTTGGGGGCCCTGTGGCCCGGGGTCCTGGTGGGCTCAGTGCAGGCAGTGTGCGGCAAGAGTCCCTGCTGCCAGCCTGGGTGCCCTCTCCCTGCCAGGGTTCTGCTTGCTCTTCGCTCCCTGGGGCTCTGGAGCCAGCGCTGTGCCCGCAGGAGCAGGCATGGCTCTGGGCAGGGTGGGTGCCACACATGGGGCTGCTGTGCCCTGGCTCCCTCCTGGGACAGCCCTGCCGTGGGGCTGGGCTGTGGGTATGCATGGGATGCTGCAGGCAGCAGGGCTGGGAGCTGTCTGCAGGGGATTTGGGATATGCCCATGTGTCTGCTGGTCCCCAGCACTGACCAGAGACCTGGGGCTGCAGAGTGGGCTCATGGCCCCTCTTCAAAGTGCTCGGCTAGGAAGAGGAAGAGGGACTTCACCCCACATCCTTTTTAACATCAGGTATATCAAGTGTGGAGATGTGAGTGGAGCATCTAGAGCTGGCACAGCTGTGACCTCTGTCCATCTTTCTATCCATCCATCCTTCCTTCCATCCATCCATCTGCTCATCCACCCACCTACCTACCCACCCTTTGTTCCTTTATTCTTTCTCAAATTCTTTCTTTCTCTCTCTCTCTCTCTTTGTCTCTGTCTCTCTCTCTGTCTCTGTCTCTCTCTCCCTGTGGGTGCTGGGGTTTCCGTGCTGGCACAGACGATGGAAGAGGACACCCTAGACGATGTTGCATCTGAGCATGGAGCTTCCCTAAGCATGGAATCTTTCACACAGAAAAGCCTTGTCTCCTCTCCTGAGGTTGTCACCATCCTCTTCTTCCCCCACCCCTCACTCTCACAGTCTGCCCCCACACTGTGGGGGTCCCTGGCCTGCCAAGGGGGCTTGTGCCCTCTGAGCAGAGCTTGTGCGGTTTGCTGGCCCCCAGGGTGGGTCCCCTCTCTGGTGATGGGCAGGATCCCTCACTGGGACGAGGCTGTTGGTGAAACCTGCTCTCCTGACTGTTCCTGCTCAGCTGTGAAGTGAGGTCCTGGAGAGATCTCCCAGTGCAGCCCTGCTGGATGCAGGGCCATGCTGGAGCCCAGTGCTGTGGGTCCCAAGGCAGGGATGATGCTATGGCACAGGCACTCTGTGGGTCGCTGCTCCAACCACAGGCAGCTTCAAGCTGTCCTTAGCAACCCCTTGTGCTTCCTTTCACTTTGGCTGCAGTTAGAGTTCCCTGGGCCCAGGCTCCCTGGAAAAGGGCATCCTTGGAGGCATCAGACATGTCAGACTTGTGCCTGTGCACAGCAGGGTCATGCTGCTGTCAGTGTCCTTGTATGGTGCCCACAGCTTAGGAGTGTGGACTCGGCACTGCTTGAGTGCAGGTTTAGCTCAGGGGAGGGGGCTTGTTTCCCAGGACAGCCAAGAGTGGTACTGTCACTGAGCAGAAGAAAACTAGTCTTTGAGCCTTGTTTTTGGTGTGGTTGGCCCCAGGCATGCCACAGGGTGGGGCACAGCAGTGCTGGGGTGCACATCCTGCCTGAGTGCCCCAGAGGGGGCAGAGGCAGGGGGGGCAGACGGGGCAAGGGTGAGGTTGGTTACATTCTCACTCCACGTCATTTCCCTTAGTCCACGCAGAAGTTGCCAGTGTGGGCAGGACCCTAAACCTGGGCTGGCTGGAGCAGCCATGAGCATCGCTGCTGAATGGAAAGGTGTGCTGAGAGAATGCCAGAGCCCAGCCTGGGCTTCCCAGTAGCCCTTCACAGCTTCCAAGTCAGGGATGATGTTGCTTTCTTGGGTCAAACCCAACTGTGAACAGACAAGGTGCAGCCTGGTGCTCCTGGCAGGCACCAACAGGCTCTGTTGTGATTTCCATGGACTAGGAGGAAACGAAAACTTCATTAGAGGCCAGTGTGGAGGAAGAGACCTGGAGAGCAGATGGTTCTTGGGAGTGCAGGGTAACAGGATATCAGAGAGGCTCATGTGAGCGATTCTATAGGAGACCTGGCTGCTCAGCAGGTCCCCAGGGCTGTCTGGCCATGGCAGGGCGCAGGCGCTGTGGCACGTCCCTGGCAAGGATCCATCTGCCACCAGTGTAGGAGGGTGCCCTTCCTACCCTGTGTCATGGCTGGCAATGCGTGGTGCCATCCCCGTGGCTGTCCTGGCACTGCGAGGAGGCAGCACCTGCCTACCCTCAGGACTCTGGGTGTTCTTGTAGGGGACCCATGGGTGTACTTCTGTCCCTGCCTGTGGTGCTAGGTGTTCTCTGGGGACTCACAGGCCATACCTCAGCACAACCCACCCTGTGCCACCCTGCAGACATAGCCCTGCTGGCACTTGGGGGGATTCTCAGGGGACAGCCAGGCTCTTGGCAGAGCCTGGGGCAGGTGGGGGGCTGCAGTGGACAGGGCAAGGCCTGGGGCACTGTGCCAAGGGAGCTCTGCTTTCCATGGCACCTGATAAAGAAGCAGGAGCTGGGGAGTGGCATTTTTCTGCCAGAGGCTTTCACTAATTTCCAGTTCCCCTCTTGGAGAAGCCCTGACACTACTAACAAGTTTTTCTTCTTTCTCTCTCTGCTGTAATGTTACCTTCTCTTCCCTTCCCTCTGGCTCATCTCCCCTTGGCCTCTCTGTTTCCTCTTATCCAATATCAGTCACTAGGTTTCTATTTTGGGTGCAACTGCTCCAGACATTCACCCTGACCCCCCTGCGTGTTTCCATGGATTATTGTTCCTGATGTGAGCACGGAGTGGGCAGCCAGCCCCCTCCCTGGGACTGGTGGGCATCCTGGTGCCCCCGAGGGCAAGACTTACCCCTCCTGCAGGCTGTGCCCAGGCAGGCTGTGCCATGGGCAGAGCCAGTGCCATGGTGAGCCCACAGGACTATGCCCCCAGCATTGCCCTCCACATGTGCTGCCTGGGGCAGCTCTGGAGGCCGCTGGGCTGCCTTAAAGTGTACGTTCTCCTGCCACTGTCTTCCTGTGGGTTTTTTTCTACCTGCTGTTCCAGAAGTGGCTAGATTTCAGCAGTGCTTCATCTTGGCACTCGTGAAGCCATTAGCTAACCTGCAGGACAAAAGTGGATGTAGCAATGTCCGTAGCAGCAGTGACCTGGCATCCCCTGCCAGCAGCACAGGTACACAGT